TGGTGCAGAAATTAAATTCATAAGGACGCACTAACTCATGAAAATAAGAAAAGAGAGCATGAGAGGAGAGGTCTGGCATGGAGAAGAGCAAGGGATGTGCTAGGGTAAGCATAATCAGGAGCAAGGATGGTGTTTTTAACCTATTACTTATCTGGTAAGTCACATATTGCCTTAACCTTCAAATCTACCCTATTTTCTCTTAGTTTTAACTAGTGAGAAATTAAATTCAGGAGTTTTAAAGAGTTGATTTCTTACCCTATAGTAATAGAAAGATTCTTTAAAATTAAACTAGTACTTTGTGACTGGTTGAAGTTGAAATGATAAAGCTTTAAAGCTATAGGCAAGATTTGCCCTAATCTAGAGAGAGTAGTGAGAGAAAATTGTTAGAAAATATTAAAGCTTAAGATGAGGGGTAATCAATGGTAATATGCATAATCGAGTGTGAAATGTGAATTTGAAAGTGATTGAGTGCTTAAATGTGATAATTGGCACTTTTGTCAATAAAGAGATTGACTCTGGATGCCAATTTTGTATAGATTCTAGTAAGTAGCAAGGTAGATAAGCAAAAAGAGATTCGAGTAAGGAAGTAACACGGTAAACCTTTCTAGAAAATAAAAGAGTTAAGGTAACCATATAGTTTATTGTGTTTATTAACTATTATAACTGTGTAAAAGTAAGTACAAAATGAGAAATAGTGGTTTATGAGTTTTTATGCATGATGTGTATTGAAAATGGTTTTAGCATGAGCATTGATTTGTGAAATGATTTTTAAAAGGTTATCGATTTCAAATGATATATATATATATATAGTATGACATTATATGTTGTGAAAATGTGGATGAGTAGTGATAATTGTGAAAGAGCATGATTATAGGGGTTGGGAGTTCACCCAAGATATGTGGGTGTGTGTGTAAAGATATGTGAGTGAAAAATCTATGTGGTTGGGCTGGCACCATGAGATATCCGATGCAACATATTATGGGTTGGTACCATGGGTAATTTGGTACTATGGGACATTCGGGCAATCTGATAACTCCCTAGCACCTACTAGGGTGTGATTAGGAGTCAATGATGCCTCTATCACAAGTGTGTGAAGAGAAAAAATCATAGTTCATATGTGGGTTAGATTACCTTTGGCTGAGTATGTCTACTACCAAAAGTGTGCTTGGGTCGACAGATGGTTGATTTAGGAGAGCCTATAGTTTCAGTTTGGGAGCATTAGAGGTTTATTGGCTAGACAATAATGTTAGTATGTATTTGTGTGGAATTGCTATAGAAAGATGAATAATTTCATATTATATATATATATATATATATATGTGATATAACTTTAGTTTTGATACTTTAACATGGTTATTTGTGGCAATAGGCATTAAATGAGCTATATTGGTTATTGAGAATTTTATCTCACTCGTGGTTATTCATATTTTTTAAGTTCTAGTACTAGTGGTTCAAAGGGAAAGGATATAGGCTGAGTTGACATCTCTCGCCTGAGTCGTTGTAAGAATTGGTGTAATGAATTTATTGTTAGTGGTTGTAAATATGTATATGTTGCCTTAGGACTTGAGCTTGTGCATATTGTGGTATGTTTGATTAGTTTTGGGTTCCCTAGCCCTTTGTATATGTGTGAATGATGACTGGATAGGCTAGTGGAGGAATGTATATGTGTGTGACTTTGAGAGGTATGAAGAATGTTTGAGATGATTTGGCCATGTATGAGAATATAGAAATAAAAATGTGATTTTGGCCTAAAGTGTAAAATAGGCAATTTATAGGCTAAATGTGTGTATGTGTGATATATTGTGCATATATATGGTCAATCAGGTGTGTATTGTCCATTTAGATTTGGTTAAGGCTTAAAAAGTGGCTAATGACATTTGCTTTTAAATTGAGACACTTGAGTGACTAGATTTTGGCAAAAAATGGTCAAAATGCACTTGGATGTTCAATTTTTGATAGAAATATTAGATTGAGTTGAAACCAGTGTCATTAGTTAGAATTTGAAATAAGCTTCAAGTAGGCACTTAAACCATCCCAAACGGACATCGTATGTGAACATGGCGTGTATCTAAATTTTGTATCAAAAACTACTATTTGACAGCAAATTCAGGTGTGTGCACTATGGTGCATGTACCCACATACTACAGTGCACGGCACAGAGTGAGTGACTGTAGCCTCTATGCCGTATGTTGCAATGCATGGACTTTCTGTTATGCATGCGTAGACATCATCTTATGCATAGTGGATATTGTCTTGTACATAATGGAAAGGTTGAGACTTGTAGATTTCATTTCCTTTTCATTCAAATATATACATAATTCCAATTACAAACAAAAACTATTTCCAAATTACAAAAAAAAAAAATCTTAAAATAGGTACATAATCCAAGTAGGAGAACCTAATTTCACAATCTTATAATTTTTCTTCTCATTTGCCTGTTCCTAAAAGTGCAAGTAGATGTTCACAGATGACATTATTGGGATGCTCTACTAGCTAGCAAAATATGTCACACCTCATGCCCAATAGTTCTTGTGTTGTGTATCTAGGCATGGTAAACGAAGGATGGTCAACATTGACAGTATTGTTCTAGAATTTGAGCCAGGTAATGAGATGAATTCCACAATCATCACTACACAACAAAGGTAATAGAATGAGATATGAATGAACATTTTGTTTCTGAAAAAGATTTAAATGTTATACCAACATAACTTACTTGTTCTCTTGCTTGAAGACTCGTGGATAGAGTATGTCATTGCTGTACTCCACCTCAGATAGTTCTGGCTTCACCTTGAGCAAAATTGATCTGAAATGCTCCCACTGCAAAGGTAAATGGTCAGTCAACAAATATAAAAATGTTGACAAATTCAAAAGCAAGTCTTCATAATTTAGAGCTTACAATATTTGCACCCATCATTATTTGGCTCTTGTACACAAGATCCTTCAGACATATTTTTTGGCCAATTTCTCCTTCCCTTTCTTTCCTATTTTTCTCACTCTTCCTCATCAGCCTCTAATTGCTCGTGATCAACTATAGAATCAAGAATATAAAACTTCATTGTCCTTAGCTCCAAGACAAACTAGAACCAATGGTTTCCTACAATTGTAGGCCCAAATATGAAATCACAGTCGCCTAAGTTTTTTACTAAGTGTTATGGAATTATTGGTATGTTGATATGTTATAGGATTTATCAAGTTTCTTGAGCTAGACTACATGTTGATCGTAACAAAATGAAAGAAGATTGGCACAATTTATGGGCATGCAATTTATGCTATCACAAATAGCCAAATGATTCTAGTTCCTCTTGCTTTTGTACAATCCAAGATGGCTTATTCTAATGATGAGAATAGGTCTTTAGTTCATTCTGCAAACAAATGTAATATGACTATGTTGCTAAAAAGAGACACTAAAGAGTAGCATTTAGAATTACTCAATTACACCCTATCTAATGTACCTAGATGAGATGGATGTTAGACATATAGTTATTTTTTTGAATTCATATTAATATTTAGTGAAAACATTCTGTGAAAGCATCATATTCACCCAACTTGAACGTCTACAGTATAGGGGTTTTATGCATACAGTGTACTATATAAAGGATAGTTTCCATTTAGTATACATACATAATGCGGGGTTCCTTATAACCTATTCATATTCTTATGGTATAATCCATTGGTCTTGTTTAAAGTAAAATGAACTATGCTTCTTTAATATGTTAGTTTCATGCTCTACATTCTATCACCAGTTCATTTCCTCCAAATGTACAAGGGCAATCTTCATTGCTGTTGTGATATAAATCTAACATTTTGAGTGAGCCAAGGTATTACTAAGGTTTCAGTTTTCATCTAGGTTTTTTGTTCTTAAGAAAAGCAACAAAATTTGCAGCATAGAACAAATAAGGATAATGATAAAAGCTTTACATCAAAGACCTATTACAAGCTCAACAACTAAAAGACACACATGCATTGAATCAATGATAGAGAAACAAAACCAAAAATCCTTACCTCTGAACAATAATGACAGAAGCTAGAAGAAACAGATGATGCTACTCGAACAAGGAAGGCAAAGAAGATGAGCAACAATTGACGATGTGCAATGTAGGAGAAAATGTGGGAAACAACAAACGATAATGGACAATAGGGCAGGAACAACGAATAAGAATGAATCGAGAGGAAGATCTTGACCACCACTGTCCTCCTCCGTTGGTAGTAAAGGGCAGAGCTCTATAAGTCACTATTCACAACAGCAACCAATAGCAACTTAATGTAAGGAAAGAGAGGAAAAATTGTGAAATGTGCTTCGTCTATCAATGGTTGAGACTTTTACACTCATCCACGCCAGCGACGATCAATAACGGTAGAGTGATGACTAGTGAAACAAGAAAGAAGACAAGAAAAAAAATTGAGCTATGCTTTGTTCGTTGCTTCAAGGGTTCATGAAAGTTCTGCATTCAAATCAAATAAAGGTCAAAATATTATTTTTGTTCTAAAAAAAATTGCAATTGGGACCCCAAGACATACAAAGCAATTTCAGGATGATTTAAGTCTTAAGTGTAATAAACTCTTTTTTAGGGCCCTCGATGCTATTTTTCCATTATAATTTGTGCTTTTATTATAATTTAATTTAAATTTTAGTGTCAACTTTTTTATTTATTATTGCAAAGTATCTTATAGTATTAATAAACTATTTTTAAATAATAACGTGTTCTTCATTGCCTTTTCCCTTTTTTTGATGTTGAGAGAAAATGTGAGTCCCACTTTGCAAAAAGCAATCGAGTTGTCAAAATTGTCTTTTTATTTAAAAAAAATTACATTTTGATCAAGAATAATAATTTATAATTTATGAAAAGTAATGGCTTTTTTATTTTCGAAAGAATTTTAAGTTGATTTTTTTTTTTTAACTAAAAACGAAGTTTCCTACAATGTCCCCGGACTCCTCCGAACACGCGCCTTTCCATCTGTCAGGCATCTTCGTCTTCGTCAATAAATAAACGAGTCTGTCTCTGCCTTTGTGCCCAAGTCTCTGAAACGAACCAAAGTCTTCGTCTTCGTCTTCAATCTTGATCCATGGCATCATCTGCAGTTTCTCTCATTTTCACTTCCTTTCTGCTTCTGGCTTTCTCCATCCATGCCTCTCATCATCATCATCATCACTGCGAACCAGATTCTTCCGCCTGCTCCAACTCCAATAAGCTTCCTTTAGTGAAGGGTCTCTCATGGAGTTTCTACCACTCAAGCTGCCCTAACCTTCAATCTCTCATCAGAAAACACCTCCACAAGGTCTTCTCCGACGACATCGGCCTCGCCGCCGGCTTGCTTCGCCTCCATTTCCATGACTGCTTCGTTCAGGTAATTAAATAACCACCTCCAGCATCCAACTAAATTTCTTACGTAGTGTAAAATCGCTGTATAATTTCTTTCAGAATCTGTAAATGAAATGATGAAGTCTGGTCTGGATCAATAATTTGGGGAAATTACTTGAGCTTAGCGTGAAGTTTAAGCAGATATGTTATTCTTAGTCTTCGCTTTCGATTCACTTGGCTTTAAGAGCTGTTGACTTCTGTGCTGATATCAGATTAATAGTAGGTTGAGAAAAACAAGCTAGCAGCTTCGTTAACACCTAACGGTCATACATGCATAGATACATCCATATATATATATATATATATATATAAAATATTTTATAGCTTTAAATTGAATTATATATGGCAGGGTTGTGACGGGTCGGTATTGTTGGATGGATCCGCGAGTGGGCCTAGCGAGAAGGAGGCCCCACCGAACCTGAGTTTGAGGGCTGAGGCTTTCAAGGTGATTGAAGAACTCAGATCTCTCGTCCACCGTCACTGTGGAAGCGTCGTCTCTTGCGCCGACATCGCCGCCCTCGCCGCCCGTGACGCCGTTGTTCTGGTTCGTACATCACTTCCCCTTCGTCGGTCTATCTCTCTTTCAGATCATTGAAGCAAAATTCAAAGATTTGATTTTTTTTTTTTTTTCTTCAGTCTGGAGGACCAGAGTATGAAGTTCCCTTGGGAAGACGAGACGGCCTAACGTTCGCCACAAGAAACGCGACGCTGGAGAACCTCCCGGCGCCGACCAGCAACGCCAGCGTCATTCTCGAGTCACTGGCCACTAAAGGCTTTGACCCGACCGACGTCGTAGCTCTCTCCGGCGGCCACACAATCGGAATCAGTCACTGCGCTTCCTTCACCAACAGGCTCTACCCTAATCAGGACCCTGTGATGGAAGAGACCTTCGCCGACAACCTCAAGCTCACGTGCCCCACCGCGAACACCGACAACACCACCGTGTTGGACATCCGAACACCGAACCTGTTCGACAACAAGTACTACGTTGACCTTGTCAACCGTCAGGGACTCTTCACCTCTGACCAAGACCTGTTCACGGACAAGAGGACGAAGGAGATTGTGAGCGAATTTGCTGAGAACCAAAATCTCTTCTTCGAGAAGTTTGCAGAGGCTATGATGAAGATGGGTCAGCTTGGCGTGTTAACAGGTAATAATGGCGAGATTCGAGGAAATTGCTCTGTGAGGAACCAAGATTATGAGTCTGTCTTGAAGAAGTACAAGGTGGAGGATGTCGTGGAAGACGACTACAAGTCGGAACTGTGATTAATGTGTGGTTTGTTTGTGGGCGATATACATAAGGACGTGCACACGTAGGTTGTCTGATGTGTTTTCTATAGTGACTTGATTGATGTCCTATGTTTATTACATCGTAGTGTTTGATCTAACAGACATTTCACTTGCTGTTTGACACACATAATTAATAAACATGCATGGTTTGTAATATATGATGGTGTTTTTATTTTTCAAAGGTGTGTAGGATCTGAGAGCTAGATGATGATCAGTTAAACATTTTGTCTTTGGCATGGTTAATTTATTTGCACGATATGTTACAGACCTTTCAATCGATCAACTTAGGTGGACGGGCGTGAGTTTGTGATTTTGTTTTCTTAGTGGTTCAACATTAGATTCTCAATTTTTTGTATAAAGGAAATTAAATATAGTTAGAAAGGACTTACTTTATACTGTTCATATATTTAAGAAGATAGTCAATCTTCTCAATAAAAGATATGCCTGGCATCTTCAGAAAAAAAAAAATTAATTAGGCAAACCTGAGGTGGGAATGGCTAAATATATATATATATATATATATTTATTGAGATTGATAGAAGTAATATAAATGCTCCCTCGACTTTTATTTATGTTCCCACTTGATCATAATATGACCATCTTCTAAAAATCTTGTTTAATTCAAAATATAGTTTATTAAATAATTTTTATAATTAATTTTTTAATCATATCCTTATTTCATTTAAAAATATTTTATAAAATTTAAAAAATCAAATAAAATTTAAAATTTAAAATCATTCTTTAACCAACAGTTTTTTTGGAGTGAAAATATTTTATTATCTTTACTTGCCCCTGAAGTGATTGGCTAGTTCTACCTAGAATCTTTGACCATTAACTTGCAGGTTCTTCTTCTTGTTTTTTTTGTTTTTTGTTTTTTTTGTTTTTGAACAAAAACTTGCAGGTTCTATAATTGCGTACCTTGCCGATTGCCAGTCCCTTTCCGAGTTTCATTTCTACCTCAAATCGAGGCATCAATTTTCTCAAAATTAAACCTTAACGATTTTCCCGCCATATGTTTTTTATGGATAAAATTTTCCCGCCATATGTCAACTTCAGTGTTAAATGAATAAATTGACGTCTTATTTTAAAAAAATTATACTTTCTGATTTAAAATATAAATAGTTTTTTTTAATTCTAATTCCCATTAAATATATATATATATATAATTTTTTAATCTTAATTATTAATGTATTTTATAATGAGTGAGAAATACATTTATATAAAAATCTATATTAATAAATATAAGGGATGAAATGAATTTTTTTGTTCATGTAATAGTTAACTTATATTTTGAATAAGATTATGTGAGAGAAAATGTTTATATTTTAAATAAGAGTATTATATTATTATTATTACTTACTCCTTTTGTTAAAAAATGTAAAACATTTTTAACTGAATCTTACCTCTAGTAAAGTAATTATCTACTTTTCAACTAACTCTATATTTTTATATTTACTCCTATTAAATACACTACAATAAATATAAAGTTATTATCAATAAGGGAACTTTTGAAAAAAAAGTCAATTATTTTCCTTTGAAAGACTAAAAATGTCTTACATTTTTAACACTCAATTTTTTTTAAAAATACCTTATATTTTTTAACGGAGGAAGTATTAGGTTTAATGGCATGTCATTTGTTGATTCGAGTCGAGTTGAATAGTTGACTTATGCCAAATTGAAGAACGTGTGCTTGGCAGAACCTGCTTCCTCTTTTAGGTTTGTAAATTCTTGGCCTAATATGTTTTACCAACTATTTCTGAGCCTAATATATTACGTTTGCCTTAAAATTAAAAACAATTGTATGGAAATTTAGACTGAACCGATCAGTTCAGCCCTTTAATTGATGACTCGATCTCTTTTTCAGTTTGGTTTTCCTCTTAAATCGATCAGCCATTGACCTGGTGCGACCTGATCGGGTTGCTAGGTCAATCGGGTCAATTTTTTTATTTTTAAAAAATTATAAAAACTAAATAAAAAGTAAAAAATTTAGCTTGAAAATTAAAAAAGCAAGGCAATGGAAGGCAAGGCAATTAAACTAAATTTCATTGCCTATGGTTCGAACTTTGAATAGAGGGCCTTAATTGTAAGTTTGAACTTGAAAGATTCAGGATTCTCCTAAGTTTATTGTGTCTTAATTGTTTTAATCTTTCATTATGTATTGTTATTCATTTGTCTAATTGTTGCTTAGTATTTATGAATTATGATTGTCATCATTAATCATTTTAGTGTTAGTGATTATTCATTTTAGACTTTTTAATGATTGAAGGGTTGTAAATTATAATTGTAAGAATGAATATTTAAAAAGTTATATTTTATTATTGTTAGACTTTTAGGTGGTTGTAATTTTATAATTATTATTGTATTTGTAACTTGTATTAGAGATTAATCTTAAATTTGGTTGAATATTTTCATGATTAATGTCTTTTTATTTAACTTATGTTATTTTAATCATGACTTGTTTGCCCTCCAGATTGACTCCTGGTTTAACCTCAATTGAACCACTAACTCGCAACTCATTGGCTTGATCAGTTTAATGATCAGTCCACAATTTTCAGTACATTGCTAATAACTAATAATATCTCTCAATGTCTTTTCAAGTTGTATTAAGTAGTAGTTTCCCCAAGTTAGGTATTCCTTGGGTTTACAAAAAATGTGGGTATGGGTTGTCATGACCTCAGTTTAGGGGCTTTGTCTTCAAAAGCATGGTCACAGTCTTAATGCTTTTCTGAAGGGGAAGGATCCTCATACTTGATAATTGGTATAAGAAGGCTTAAGTACTTTTTAGGTGGCTTAAGACTTGGACTAGTTGTAGATATTAAAGCTGTAAATAAGAACTAAACACAAATAGGCTATCCATTTAAACTTCTTTTTAATGAAAGTTCAGGCTTAAAAAAATAATATTTTTATTAAAAAATCAAGCTTTGAAATTCAGTTTTAATAGGTCTTGAAAACATGAGCTTGGATTTGGGCAATCCTTTTAGTTTTACCACTAAAGAAATAGTATATTTTCAATTTTTAAGTTAAATTTAAACCTCAAAATACATGTTTATATTTTAAAATTAAAATTTTTATTATTTATTATAAAAATTTGTATTTTTAAAAAGAATATGAAATATTATAATTAAAAATTTTAATTTTTGAAAAATAAAAAACTAAAAATAATAAAATGAGTTTATGAGCTCAGCTGGCTCAAAGCTATTGAATAAGGGAGTTTAAAAATAATTGATTTTGAGATAATCAAATTTATGAGCTTGAACCCACTTGGGTCAGGCCTATGATGAGGACAACAAACTCTTTCAGCTACAGTCATTTACAAAGGATAGGCTATGAGCATTCAACTGCTTAAATGATTAATTATTTTTCCTATTCACTAGAGTCAATTGAAGTTGAGGCTGGAAGAGACCTAACTTCAAACTTGACAAAGAACCGTCTTCAATATGAAGTGTTCCCAATTCTTTTGGTGTGTGCATTGTCAAAAAACACATCTTCATCTTTGATTTCCTCTTTATTTGGATCTGTGCTCGTCATGAGTTATTTAAAGCCAAGATGATAGGCCAAGCAAACTAATTCGAGTATTGCAATTTGTTTCCTCTTCATCTGATCAGATTTAATTTCTTCAATCCTTTATCCAACGTGTGGATTTGATATTGAGATGTGATTATAATCTAGAATTTCTAATTGTAATTATAGCAAAAGCTCTTAAATCTTTTCTTGGTTGAAATTGGGAGAATAAAATATTGATAGAAAGCTTTTCAGCTAGGTTGATCTGTTTGAAACCTATATGTTTTGAGTGAAGGGTTTCAATTTCATCATCTAAGATTTCACCCAAAGTCTTTAGATCTTTAGGACAAATTTGTGGCATGCTTGTACTCCTTTTGACTAGGCGAGGTGTACAATGGAATCCTAGTCATGGAAACTCTCTGGCTTTAACTTTGCAACTATGTGTGGGACATAGATGTTTGATTTATCAGCTTAGTCTCTCTTCATTTGTGCCCAATTGTCTTCGTGAATTTCTCTTGAACCCCAATATCTCTTTTGTTGATTTTAGCAATCATTTGGATAGAAGAAAGCTAATGATCTCTAGATATCAATTGCACATATTTAAAGATTCCATAAACCTCTCAAGGTTGGATAAAATTAATAAGAATTACATCTTAAAAGAACTGATGGGTAGGATTATTAAGAGTTCACTTGGAATTACGGGCTTATGCCAGAGGAAGGGCATTAACATGAGTAATTGGAATGTTAAATCTCTTAGTAAAGATCAAATTCTCTAAGTAACTCTAGAGGCACATTGTGCTTTTTTTATTAGCAAAAATGTTTTTTTTCCCTGGTATTCTTTTAAATGCTTACATCCACAAAGGACCTCTTCTTCCTTTTACAAAGAGTACTCAAGACCTCACACTAAACCTTGTTGGATGGAAAAGGGGAAAGAAAAATGTTTTCAACAATGTGATAACGTCAATAATCTAAAGGAAAAAGATTCACAAGGAGAAAGGGTTAAAACAAATACTGGCATAAGATCTAATGATGCCCATAAAGTTTCTTATCATAGGAGAAACATAAACTCTTATTAATATAAACTCTAAAAGGAAAAGGCTTAGACTCTTTATAGATGTGGATGATTCAAACTCCTTTTTCTCCATACTCCTACCAAATCTCTTAAAAGGCAAGTTGAAGTTCTTTCCATTACTGATCATGTAAAGAAAAATTAAAGCAAGTTTAAAATCTCTCATCTTCTCCATTGCTAATTTTTTTCATGGCTCATTTTTATATCAAAAGATCTTAGGAAGCTGACCCTCAAAAGCTTCCTAGGAGCCATGAAGTTCATATGTTGGAACTGTCATGGTTTGAAGAAAACTATGGCAATGCAAAGGTTGAAGCGTTTGGTAACAAGGCTTTAATCAGTGCTTTTGTTTTTGTAGGAAACTAAAATTTTAGTTGCTTTTGCATCTTCTCTAGTTGAACCTTTAGGCCTCACTGTTAATGTGGGTGTAGATGCTATAAACAAGGGAGGAGGAACTCTAGTTGCTTGGAGAAATGACATTAACCTTGTAGTTTTGAATTGTAATCCATGGTATTGTCACTATTATTCTCAAACAATCAACGAGCTTTCTTTATATATCACTTTCATTGATGGGCCTCCAAGATCACAA